GTTGACTTTAGGCAATTTTCAGTGAGCTGGAACTAATTACCCAGAAACCCATTGAAACAATGGTTTCGGTTAACGAGCAACCTTCTGGAACGAATTGTGCTCGTTAACTGAGGGACCACTGTTGTTTCCTTATGTTACTTTCAGATATGTTGTGAAAGGAGTTAAGGGGAGCATCTGCCTGAAAATATGATGAAAATTGGAAAATTATGGCAATATTCAGAAAAAATTCCTTATGAAAGCTGTTGCCTATGGCTATCTGCTGACATATTTTGATTGCATAATTTTTAACATTTATGTAGCTATGAATGATTGTTCTATCCCCCTTCATTTGGAGGGCCCTTCTGTTTACATAAAAGTTGTAGAAAAATATTTATATTATTATTCTGATTTAAAGTAATACCAATCACTTGGCAAAAATCAGTACAGTACTTTTAGGGGGGGGGCATTATCCCACCAGGGCACAGGTCACTGACCCACATCAGGGCCTGGCGGAGGGGGTGGGGGATGTAATGGTGGTAGTAGTAGTAGTAGTAGTAGTAATAATAATAATAATAATAATAATAATAATAATAATAATAATAATAATTCAGAGAAGTAATATTTTTAATAAAAAAAAATAATGGTAACAATAATAATAATATTAACACTGCAATAACATTAATACTAATAATAAAGAACCGTAATGAAATACTTGTTTTTACTTTTATCCTCTTCGCCACTGATCGACTCATTAGCCGCTTGGGTGATAGGTTACGTCTCTGTTGGCAAATACTGAGCATGCACTGGCTCCTGAATGTACCTGAACCTGCTCCAATGTTGGTCAAGTCTTGTCTTGAAAGAGCTCACACTCGGTGCCATCACAACACTTTCTGGTAGATTGTTCCAAGAGTTCACAACTCTCACTCCGAAAAAGTTTGCCCTCTCAGTTTTCTGGACATGCTTATACACCTCAATAGGTCACTCCTTGCCCGTCTGTAGTATAAGCTAGGCAAGTTCAGGAGCTCCAATCTCTCAGGGTAGTTGAGGTGCCAAAATGCAGGCACCAGTCTGGTGGCCCTCCTTTGAACATTTTCAATCAACTGACATTCCCTGGTATATCTCGGGGACCAGATAAGGTGACAGTACTCCAGATGGGGGAGCACTTCACTCTTGAAGATCGTTACGAGGGACAGACCGTCTAGCTATCTGAACGACCTACTTATAAGACCTAATAATTTATTTGCCTGGTTTACCTTCTCGCAATATCCCGAGAACATCAGCTCATTGTCAACATACACACCTAGGTCCTTCTCACATTCAGTCTTAAGTAGTACAGTTTCTTCCTCCTGTTGGGACATATGATACGCCTCCTTACCATTGGTTCGCCCCAGGTGCATCCTCTTACACTTCGTGACATTGAATCTCAGCAGCCATTTCTTCGACCATTCTTGGAGCTCAGAGATCCTTCTTCAGCTCTTCACAGTCCGCTTGGTTCTTGATTTCCCGAAATAACTTGGCGTCATCGGCAAACATTTGTATGGAGGAGTGTACAACGTCAGGCATGTTATTTATGAAACAAAAAACAACAATGGGCCCAATACACTGGCCCGTGGTACTCTGCTTGTGATTTCGTGTCATTAATCACCACACACTGCATGCGGTCATATAGAAAGTCTTCTGTCCACGCTAGGACATTTCCCCGAATTCCGTACCCTTCCAGTTTGATTTTCAGCCTTTCGTGGGGTACACTGTCGAAAGCCTTGGCACAATTTAGGTATATAATGTCGATATTACGATATTACGGTTAACGAATTTTTCGGTTTACGAGCAACCTTCTAGAACGAATTGTGCTCGTTAACCGAGGGACTACTGTGTGTGTGTATATATATATATATATATATATATATATATATATATATATATATATATATATATATATATATATATATATATATATATATATATATATATATATATATATATGCAAGTAAACTTGAGGTTACTTAGGTATATGTAACCACAAGCAAGCAATTCACATCTTCAGTGAGTACAGACTGAAGATGTGAATTACACCTAAAGCTTGGGAACTTCGGGTTTTCTTCTTTCCCTTGTATCAGCATATATATATATATATATATATATATATATATATATATATATATATATATATATATATATATATATATATATATATATATATATATATATATATATATATATATATATATATATATATATATATATATATATATATATATATATATATACACACACACACACACACGCACTGGCACTGACCCCTTTAATCCGATTTCGATAATTCGACAAAATCTTAACTTTATTTTTTATAGATTTGTAGGAATACTACTCACGCTGACCTTAACCTAAAATGCTGGTCCACCCACTGCTGATAAAACACTAGCTCTTTTGGTTGTAACAACATCTCCACCACTAGTGGGGATGCAACCTTAGCTTCAGACATGAAAAACATTTACCTTTACTGCCAGTAAACAATTTTAAATATAAAATATGTACCATTAGAAATGAAAAGTTGACAGTTCCAGCAAATGAAGCTCACCAACTTACAATAGGCTAAATTACCTACAACGCTTTCAGTAGTTTATGTTGAAGTTCTTAGCTCGCCAACTTATCATATCATATACGGTATCACAGTTCTCACTGATCTACAAAAATACCGTAATAAAAACCTTTTCGATATTTACACTTAATATAATAACCCGTAATCTACTTCAACCTCCCATTGTTTACAAACGATATTACGACGCACCACCAGCTGTTGAGTATCAGCCAGACGGTACGCTGCTTTTCGAATCGTTCAGTTAAAACTGTTACATCAAACGATATTTTACCTAAATCCGCTCTGAATGAATATATTCTCGGAAATAAATAGTAGTTTGCTGAAACGTGATGTATTTAATGTAAAATAGGATAAAATATACACTAAAACACAAAAGACTTACCTAAGCCCGATGTTCTTGAGATGTTACTGCTTTTTTAATAGTTTTCGTTAAAAATACTGTTATATTACAATGATATTCTATTCATACTGTGCTTGATTTAATACATTCACGAAATGTAATATTTTTGCTGAAATTACGACGTATTACAGGAAAGTGGATAAATCGACGAAAAACAATGACTGAAATATAATGCAATATTAGCTCCTAAATCGTTAATTCGACAATCGCTAAACGACACCCTTCTATTAGTCCAATTAACGAGGGTCGACTGTATATATATATATACAGTAGAAGTCCAAAACCCGACTGCTTGGGGCTGGGTAGGTGCGGATTTTCCGGATTCTCAGGCAGCACTTTTAAATCAAAATTTAAGGAGGAATGAAGAAGATAGAACAGGTACATTTTGATAGTTTATTCATTAGCAAATATAGCATGCTTCATTTATCAAAACGAGCAGTTTTAAAGAAAAGCTGTGAATTCTAGAATTTTATTCTTGCCTTTTTTATATCATAAATTGTAGACTTTCAAAGTCATATGTTTCATTGAACAGTATTGTTCAAACCACGCTTTTATTCCTTAATTATTTAAAGTTTGTCACCAATTTCAAAGTGTTGTCTTCTTCACACAACCAAGTTTATCTACTTAGAGCAATTATTATGGGCTTGTACAGTACTTTAAAATGGAATGAGTAGACTCAAAATTACAATGCTGTCACAGTTTGATTGCTCATTTTAAAGTGGCGACCGTGGTCGCGTTGTCGCTGTAGCTGTGGCGCTAACATGATACACACAAAAGCCAGCTAAATAAAAAATTAATAAAAATTGATTTTTGAAAGTCCGATTCTCGGTGGTCCGTATTTCTGGCATCCAGATTTGACTTTTTACTGTAATGCATATATACACTTACACTTTAAATTACCACTGTAATGTGATACAGGTGATTAATTTTATCTCTGCAAAATATATGACGTTATGTAAATTATTCACTGTCATGCAGGATTCTAGCAATGCAAATTATATTCTCCTAACTTTAGTCTGTGATATTATATAAGATAAAAACTTAAAGCCTACTGTATAACCACCAAGCCCTTGCTGGAGGAAGGTGACAGTGACATGTTTGACAATTAGTGCTGAAGGTCTAGTGAAGTATATATTTGTTTATTATGTCCATTAGATTGAGTTTTTGTTTTTTGCTTATAAAATGTCATAGAAGAGACTGTGGATAATATAATTCATTGCTAGAATTCTTATAAGATAGTGGTTAATTTGAATGTAAACATGCAATAGATTGCACTAGACAAAAATTTTAGTAAACATTTTGTACATTATTTTTGATTACATGTACAATACAGTACAGCCTATCCTAATGACATTGTGTGCATGTAAATGAGTTTCAATAAATTAATAAAGTTACATACATGAGCCAAAAATATTAGTTGAAAAACTTATGTAGACAGCTTGATGGCTAAAGAATGACCAATAATTTTAATATAAAAATGCACAAATATTAAAGAGCACAACTTTCTTGATATTTACCCACTGGAAATGAATGTAAACATACTGTAGAACAGATTACTGTATTGCAGACTAGCCCATCAGCTGATGCTCACAACAAACACGGTTTGTCGTAGCGATTTCGCTAATCGAGTTTTGTTCGTTAACCTAATTGAAGATCCTATGGAGGTAATTCGCTAACTGAAATTTCGTTAATCGAACCTGCTTGTTAACCAAGGGACCACTGTACGCCAAAAATGGTTTTTATTTATTATTTGATTTTATTTATTTATTTTTATTTGAGGCTTCCTATGATTTCAGCCTTTTTTATGTAGGAAGGCATCATTTGAATAAATGCTTGGCAATATCTTAGCCACGAATAAGCTGCTCAAGAAAAAAAATCTTCCACGATTTCTGGTCATTCTGTGGGCTCCAAACAGAGCACGTGACAGCCTGTGAGATATACTGTATACAGTACAGTAAGATACAGACTTATCATGTCTTAAGTGCAAAGGACACCAACAAGAAAAATTAAACCCTTTCTTACCTTGTCAACAGAGGTTGGATCAGCAATGACAAAGTAGCCAAAGAGCCAGCATCACCATTAATATTGATTGATGATGCCATGCCAACACCGCCTGAAGTTGCCACAGCACTAGACAGTACACTGCATTGCTTCCATACTTAGTGCTCGGCCAACACCAAGAATCTGTTGTGCTACAGCCAGGCTGCGCATCACTGTCACCAATACTGTTACAAAGATTAATCTTCTCTTTTAAAACATTTTAAGATATAAGAAACTTAACACATATATATATGAGCATAAGGATAATATCAAGAATACAGTATACACTTCTGTACACATATAAAGTGATAAAATAAATACAATAAAACCCTTATACCTGGCACCAGCACTAGCTACAGCCACCATAACAGATGCTCCATTCTCCTGGCGAATTTCTCCCCACCATAACAGCAGCTCCAGCTTCTTCTCCATTAGGGTACATTGAGACCACTGGCATAGGCAACATCGCAGGTCAACACCTAAACCAACCACTGCCATCGCGACTGGTCAAATAGGGTGGAAGCTACATAACCAAGCTGTCAAACAAGAATTATATTAAAATTAGGTTCTCCAGAAAAATCAGCAAGGCACAAATTTAAGTAAAAATTTTGGGTGCACCAGAAGCCCTTAGAGAGATTTTTATTATACTGGAACTGCTATTGATGGCATTGGTGGTTTCAGAAAATATAGTGCAACCTGAGTTTAAACCATGAACCAAATTAGACATTACAGCAATCATCTGCTATTGGTTAATACAAATTTTGCTTTATTTTAAATACAAATACCTTTATCACTTCTGCCACACCCTGTACATGTAGAGACTAAAAGATGGTGTAAATCTCTTAAGTATTTCTATAAGATGGTTGATTTGAAGTGTTGCTCAGACATTATGCCATTCCTTGTTGAATACTCAGTTACCTCCCTGTACCACACTTCTTCTACAGCACGCCAGATTCCAGTAATATCTCAATTCTGAACAAACTCCCTATATCTCAAATAATAAATATAATAGAGTGAACCCTTCACGCGGTTTCACTTTACGTTTCTATATTTACGGTACCCTGCCAGAACCGATTTCCACTTTATGGTGCATCTACTCATATATGGCGGGTGCGTGTAATTTTTATTTAGCTCAAAAATTCATACAAATTATCCGCCAGAATATAATTTACATTGCTGGAATTCTTACAATTTGATGATCATTTTGAATATAAGCATCATAGATTTTGCATTAGACATACAAATTTTAGATCTAATGCAAGTATTTTGTTTACTCAAAACAAATATGTTATCTTTTGTGCAAAATATATGAAGTGTATATTCAAAATATTCCTGGTCTTACAAAGATCAGCAATGTCAATTATATTATCCTAACAGTCTGAGGTATTATTTATTACTAAAATGTAAATATACTGTTATAACCCAATAATTTCTCTGGTAGGGAGGAAGGAATGGAGGTGAGGGGTAGAGAGGAGGAGGACCCAAGGGAGCAGGTGGGGAAGGGGGAGGTGGGGTATTTTGATTGACAGATAGTATTTCAGTAAATATATTTTGTTTATTTATTGAAGATATTTGTTTTAGCTCATAAAATTCATACAAATTACCGCCAGAATATAATTTTACATTGCTGGAATTCTTACAATTTGATGATCATTTTGAATATAAACATCACAGATTTTGCATTAGACATACAAATTTTAGATCTAATGCAAGTATTTTACTACCTGAGTAAATACAGGTTGTTTTCTCTAGTCCGCAACCTCGACCTGACCGGTGCCGACCATGGAAATTCACCTATCCTGGATACAAGTGACTTGTGTTATGCTTGAAGCACTAGCACCACTTTCTACATCATGGTTTTTTGAAGACATATTGAAGGGTTAAATGTCGTGATAGTAGCCAAATTTCATGAAGTTTTAATTTTAACGATTTTATTGAACACAAAAAAATAAAAAATAAAATTTGACGGTGGAAACTTGAATTTCGACGATTGAACGGCTCGCCAACGCAGACAGACGTAGCATAATCGTAAACAGCGACATTTTATAAAGATTCATTATTGTTTATTACTGAATGTCTTTATTGAATTAATGTTTTTGTGTGCAATGAGAAAATACAATCATTAAATAATGAGAATATTAAAAACACGAGGAAAATGACACAGCATTGTTTTGATTACAAAGCCAGTGACTGACTGGTTCCTACATATAAACTGAAGAAAATAAGACCTTGGTTGTAGCTGTATAAAATTAATATGGTTGTTTTAAGTAATGTTATTTAATGTTAATAAATGGAACAATAGAAGCAAACTATAATGGTAAAGAAGAAAAAAAGAGAGATCACAGATGTAAGGCAAAAGATGCAATAACGTGAAAACATATCATCATTACTTTACATAAGACTATGAAAGCAACACTTATTTACTGTTCATATATATTTTAATTAATGTTTTGAATTTGTTTTTATTGAATTAATGTGCGTGTGCAAAATTAACAATACAATTTATTAATAATACGCCTAATATTAGAGGAGACGACGGTTGTCGCATTGTTTATGTTAAAGTTACTAAACCAGTGACTGATTGGTTCTACATATAAAACTGAAGAAAATAAGACCCTGATTTTAGCTGTAGTATGTAATGTAAAAAATTAATATGGTTGTTTGAAGTACTGTAATGTTATTTAATGTTAATAAATGGAACAATATAAGTAGCAACTATTAAAGACTGCACAGATGTAAGTGTGCACATGTGAAACATATTGTCATTACCTACATAAGAATATGAAAGCAACACTTATTTACTGCTCATATATATTGAAGGGTTAAATGTTGTACTCTGTATAGACAAACAGAGAGAGAGAGAGAGCAGCCGAACTGCGGATGTAAACAAACCCTAATTTCTGCTTTGTTTTTTTGGGATTAGCCCACCCGGCATAGGTCACTGACCCACAATGGGGCCTGAGGGGCATAAATTTAATATCCTGTAATAATAATTCAGATAAGTAAAACAAAAAAACAAAAACCTGCCTATCTACCCATTGGACAAACTAAAATCGCTCCGACCAAGGAGTTCCGACCACAGAATGCCGGACTAGAGAGGTACAACCTGTTATCTTTGTGCAAAAATATATAGACATTTATATTCAAAATATTCCTGGTCTTAAGAATCCAGTAATGTCAATTATATTATCCTAACTTTAGTCTGAGGTATTATTTATTACTAAAAAGGTAAATATTCTGGTTTCTCCCACACATTTCTCTGGTAGGGAGGGACCAACCCACCATCTGGCGAGGTTGAAAGGGGAGGCAAGGTGGGGTATTTTGATTGACAGATAGTGTCGAAGAATATTTTTTTTTTATTAAATGAAGATATTTGTTTTAGCTCATAAAATCATACAAATTACCCGCCAGAATATAATTTACATTGCTGAATTTACAATTTGATGATCATTTTGAATATAAACATCATAGATTTTGCATTAGACACACAAATTTAGATCTACTTAAGTATTTTGTTTACTCTGAGTAAATATGTTATCTTTGTGCAAAAATATATGACATTTATATTCAAAATATTCCTGGTCTTAAGGGAATCCAGCAATGTCAATTATATTATCCTAACTCTAGTTTGAGGTATTATTTATTACTATACCTTAAAATCTAGTGGTTTTCCCCAAACGTTTCTCAGAGAGGGAAAAGCCAGGAGTGTGAGAAGAGGGGAGGGAGTCGTGTCCATTATTTGAATGGACATTAACTTGGCGACTGTATTTCTCTTCTGAAGTATTAATTGTGTGCATGTACCATCATAAAATTAAGATGTTATTTTACTAGAACATAGGTATTAGGCCGAAAAAGTGGAGTTTGGGGGGTCAGCGGTCTCTATTTCATTTAATCCCATATGTTATGTTGTTCGCTTTACTGGCCTCCGTGGGTTCAATTGACCGCAGAAAGTGAGGGTTCACTGTACTGTAATTCAAAGCTTAAATCGACTCAAATAAATTACATTTAATTCAGCAATGATTCAGAAACCAATAACTCAAACCCAGGGCAGATCACATCCCAAAAATGAGTTTAGTGAGGCTAAGACTTCAAAATTCAAAAGAAAAGCTACGGACAAATCAAAAGGGATTTCGGGGAACTCAAAACAGGGTCAAGGATAGAATATGAAATTGAGACCAAAACAGATTTTCAGTATTCTAGAGAGTGACTTTTATGAACTAGGGCCAAAACGACAATTAAATAATTACGAAGAAGTGATGTGGACACTGGGGAAACTTTAGGACATAGTAGGAATAAAGCTATAAGTGAGTGAATGACAAATGAAATTTTAAAGAAAACGGATAAATAAAGAAATATGAGAAAAATTAAGTGAGGTTTACATATAAAAACAAAAAAGTTCAAAGGAATGCAGACAGGCCAAGAAAGATGACCTTGGGAGAAAATGCAATGAGATTGAGATGATGACAGAAGGCATAATTATAGAAAAATGTACAGAAAGATTAAAAAAATGATAAAAAATGGGAAATAAATGGGTTGGGACTATTAAAAGTAAAGAGAATAAGATCCTGTTTGAGGCAAAAGAAGTGGAGAGAGATGGGCAGAGCACGTGAAGAATTATACACTGATAAAGGTAGAGTAGAGTTAAGAAATGAAAAGGAAATAAAGATAGAAATGCCAATTCTGGTTACAGAAGGAGGCAGCTGTGAGCAAAATGAAAATTGATAAAGATTGTGGGGTTGATCAGCTTCTAGCAGAATTTCTAAACAATGGGCAAAAATGAGATTGCATTTTGTTTAATTAAATATGTAATTCCATATACTGTACAGTACTGTGCTGTACTTCAAACTTCCCAGTGATTTCAAACAATCAGTATTTGTATTACTCTACAAAGGCAGGAGCTTAGAGTACACCCAGTTCAGAAAAATAAGCTTAATAAGTCATGCTTGTAAAGGTTTAAAAAATAATATTAAGTAGAATAAAACTTAGAATAGACAAGAGTTATTTGAAGATCAAACTGGATTTAGAAAGGAAAAAGGAGCGAGAGGCTATATTCGGTTTGAGCATTTTGAGTGAAAGGACTTTAGAGGTTCAAAGAAATTTGTATTGCTACTTTGTTGATTTTGAAAAAGTACAATAAACTTATCGAGATTTGGATAAGAGGCATTGATGAAGGAGATACAGTAAAGCCTCCTATGACGGTTCTACTAACGACAATTCATATTTAAGACCCAGGTTAATTTAGGACCCATCAATTTATGCCATCATTTTCTTTGTATTTAAGTCAAAATAAAAAATATTTTTAATTACATTATAAATAACTAAATCCGCTCTATATTTAATAACAAAGCAAAAAAAAAACGCTCTTGCGACGGAGGCTGCAGGGTTGTTAGTGGTGACACCAGCATCACTATACAGTACTATCAGAATAAACAATCGCAGCTGTTGGGCCCTTTGTTTTCACGATGTGAACAGGAAATGGAGAAAAACTGTTCCTGTTCAGAAGCGTGACAACAAAGGATTGCTGTTCCGACTGTTGGTTACTGGCGATGCACATTACCACTCATTAGCCAGGCAGCTTCTTTGTGCAAGGCACTCTTCATTTTTAACAGTAATTTTATATTTTTTTTTAACATATTGGGATTTAGTTATTATTTATATAAAAAAGTAATTTTATTTTATTTTATTATATTTTGGTTGTAAATTGAATTGGGTCTTAAATATGAAAAGTTGTTAATTGAATTGAAGGCTTTACTATAGATGTGTTAAAACAATAATGAGAGGTGAGAGGTCTTGGATATTATATGGGGCAATGAACATATTTTCTGAAGTGGATCCATTAAAATTCATAAGGACATGAAACACAAATGACCTCTACATAAAGATGTATAATGAAAGAAAGCTGCTGTGCAAGGTTCTTTCAACAGCTTTATCATTGAAAAGCCTAAACCACCAATTTCAGCTGCATCAAATTCAGCATCACAAGCAGCTTCAACATCAACTTCAAGAACAGTTTCAACAACAACTTTGAAAGCTACAGCTTCAGCCCAGTTGAACCTGATCTGAGTAAAAACTTACATCATTAGCTGTCCTTATCTTTTAGACTTTACCACCAATGGCGAAAGTAACTTTTTGTTTTACATTAGTAAGTATTATTTAAAACATATATGAACAGTAAATAAGTGTTGCTGTCATATTCTTATGTAAATAATGATATGTTTTCACATGTATGCACTTTCTGTTCATGTGTTGCACGTTCAATCGCCTAGCTACTTCTATTGTTCCATTTATTAACATTAAATAACAATACTTAAAACATACATACATGTTATTTTTTTTACATTAAGTTCACTACAGCTACAACCAGGGTCTTATTTTCTTCAGTTTCTTATGTAGAACCTCGTCATTCACGAAACAATGTCGTCTTCATGTTTTAATCTACCTATTATAAATGAATTGCATTGTTCATTTCACATATATAAACATTAATTCAATCAAATACATATTCAGTTATAAACAATGATGAATCTTTTCATATTCTTAAGATAAATGACTATGCTTCCTTGAGACTTACGTATGCATCGGTCTCACTTTCTTCTTAATATCAGTGGTTACTTCTACATTAAATAACATTTATTAAAACATATAACAGTGGGGTATGCTATAACGAACGGATCTCTCTGAATATTCCTATAACGAGCGGTTTACCTATAAAATTGAGAATGCTATATGACATATCCTACAGCGAGCAGCGGATGAATACGGGACTATTTCGCCTGGCGCATGAATATTGTTGTACCGACCCAACAAAAGCGTCAGGCGCCATCTTTGTCTCATTGTGTAGCCAGTGCACCACTGTTATTGTTGAAATTTCGTCTTTTGATGTGAAATTCCGTTATTTGTATAACTATTTTGTTATACATGTATACAATGTAACAATGAATTGTCCAAGATGAGAAAGCTAATAACCCTTGAAACTAATTGAAATTATAAAGAAATGGAAGAAGCATTGCAAAACTTAGTGATGTATGGGATGGCTAAATCGACTATATGTACGATTTTGAAGAATAAAGAGGAGTTAAAAACTGTGCAAGTGGCTAAGGGAATCTTTAGACTTAGCAAAGCAAGGTGTAATGTGATTGAAGAGATAGAAAATTTACTCTTAGTGTGGATAAAGGAAAAAATGGCAGGTGGTAACATTAGTGAAGCTATAATTTGTGAGAAGGCTAAACAATTGTTTGAGGACAAAGCCAAGACTCCCAGTGGAAGTGATAGTGCTGTGCCAGTGTTTAGGGGTACCTGCATGCTGAATAACACTAAGGTAAGATAAAGTACCTTATTTTTACATTTCACAGAATTTTTCAGTGTTAAGTGGTTGTATTTGGGGGCCTGGACGGATTAATCCTATAACTGAACGAATGCTATAACGAAGGTTCTGGAACCAATTCGTTCGTTATAGCATACTTACTAATATATTGTTTTACATTAATTTTACTACAACAACAACCAAGGTCTTATTTTCTTCAGTTTCAGTTGTATCACTGACATTATGGGTGTAAACACTGACAACAATGCCGTCTCTTATCCTCTTGTGTGTTTTAATATTCTACCTATTATAAATGAATTGCATTGTTCATTTCACATATATAAACATTAATTCAATCAAATACATATTCAGTAAAAAACAATAATGAATATTTTATACATATTCTTGATAAGATAAATGACGCTGTTTCCTTGAATGCGCACGTATATGTTGGCGTTCCCAATCCATCTCTTTTTCTTTGCCATTAATGGTTAGCTACTTCTATTGTTCCATTTATTAACAGTAAATAACATTATTTAAAATATATATACGGGTATTATTTTTTTACATTAATTTTACTACAGCTCCAACCAGGGTCTTACTAACGAAAACAATGGCGTCCCATCTCCTCTTGTGTGACCGTATTATTATTAATGTATATTGTATAAGGTGCATTCATAACCATTATTTAAAGAATATTGTTTTTGGGGAAAAGAGGGTAAAAAGCCAACACAAAAGACATGAAAATGATTCACGATACGATGATTCACCTTCCACTGCAATATTGGAGGATACATTACCGTCGTTATTCGAGGCTTTACTGTACTTATTTTCATTATTGAGTATGGGTGTTGACTTGACCACGGAATTTGGTGCATCCCAATCAGGAAGTAACGATAAGTTTTGTCTGACCAATACACTCAAGGATAGAAAATAACTCATGGGAAAAGATGACAGAAAATTGGAGAGTTGATGCAAAAAGTGATAAAAATGCTGTTTTAAAAGAAGAAAACAAAAAAACTTACCATATCTGAGTTCAGTTTGCCAACATTATGAGATGGCAGGAAGATGGAGTTGCCCAGACCAGTGTTGCGGAAGGCAGCACTGTGAAGGAGTTCAACAGCAATGATGGATGGATCCCGTAAAGCAAGTTCATTCTTGATGCGTCCAACACAACTCTTAATTTCCCAGGGTTTAAAGGCTGGCTGAGTACCCACTTCACGAAGGATTTCAAGGCCAGCATCTCTAGAAGGGTATGATGATGTCAGCTTACACATGAAACCCTACAAAAAATTGTATCATGCATGTGTAACTTCCATGGAGAAGAAATCATACAAAATTTAATGGATAGTTGGCTAGATTTTGGGAAACATCAGTTACGAGAGAGAGAAATTGGGGCACAGGAAGAGGAGCAAAGTATGAGAAGGAATGACTAGAATGACTGACTGTGAAATCCTACTTTATAAGAACAAATAAGGGGAACTTACACTGAAATTCCACATTAAATGAACATATAAGGAAGGGGGGGATGTTAAGTACAAACACTTTATATAAAAAATATGAAATATAACTTACAGGTTGTCACGGATCACATCTAAACCATAGAGTATATGTTCTCGCCCAGATTCAGCCGAGAGGGATCCACCAGCCTGCTGAATAGTACGAGTGATTGCGAAGGATGTTGTGTTGTTAGTTGCCAGACCAGCACACGCACGCAGCATGTGGGCTGCCCCTTGGTTGCTTGCAGACTCATAACGTGATCCAGCCCTAGCAGAGATTTTCATTAATGAAAATGTAAATCAAAGGAAATGTTGAAAGATTATGAAGAGGTCTAATGATATTTCTTAAATGAAACCAATGATATCCTTACATTGTAACTTACCGGTATACTGATGGAAGCAAATACTGTGCCAGTACAGTACAGTATTCAACACACATCCATCTCAATGAAATACAGTCAATAACTTAAACAGGTAATGGTGCTATTCACACAGGCCTATTGTCAGATTCAGGCAGTTGACAACCGAAATAACTGATTGAAAATTTCTCAAATGACAAGTGTCAAACACTGATTACAGTATGTTATCGTTGATCAGTCAATTCGCACCTCTCGCTTGGCTCCGATTCCTTTACAAATTAAGAAATAGATATAGCTTATAGAAAGGGAATTAGTTGTGGCCAGGAAAAAAGTCATACAGTGATAACTCCGTTAGCCGGAACAATTGGTGCAGAACACTTCCGGGAATGAGAGATTTCCGGGTAACAAGATGACTCTCTCAAAGCCGGAAAAAAATCCCACGTCCCCAGAATTTTTCGGGTAACGGAAAAATGTTCTCGGAAGTTCCAGAATGATGCATTATTTCATTTCTCAAAGCCGGAAAAAAATCACCCATCCCCGGAAATTTTCGGGTACAAGGTAACGGAAAAATATTCTCAATAGTTTCAGAAATTGACCATTACATTATCTCTCGAACCCGGAAAAATATCCTCTATCCCAGGAATTTCCCAATTACGTACCAGAAAAATGCTTTCGGAATTTCCCGAAAATGCCCCTGATTTTCATCTTTCAAACCCGGAATAAAAATCCCCCAGCCCTGGAATTTTCTGGACACTGGGAAAATTATCTCATAATTTTCCAGAAAATGTGCCCCTCAGAAAATCGTTCCCAAAGCCGTAATTTTCCGGTAAATCACAGCTTTGGGAATGATATTCCAAGAAAATTTGAATTCCAGCTATCGGAGAGTCCCGGGTTTGAGGGATTCCAGCTAACGGAGAAATTACTTTTCAATTACAGTTCACCGTCCTTACACAAAGAGACGTGACATGCATCTCGGATACCGAGACAGATCGCACGCACTCTTATTGTTATTACGTGTTTTATTTAATCTATTTGTATAGTACTATAGTAGATTAATCTAGCAAGCAACAAACACACGTGAATAAAGAATCACTGCAATTAACTTTCAACTTCCTCTTGTTCACACTACAGCTGAAGTTTAACATGAACAGTATGGATGTTATCTGCATAACATAGCAGACAAGGAAAATAATAGATATAAACTTTAGCTCCAATTGAGTGTTTATAGTTCATCATTCATGAATGCCAACTGTAGGTAGAGTGGCACCGGCCTCCCCTCCCACTCCACACTCTCTTTACGTCACTTCACCTCGCTATACCACCGTCCACTTGGCAAAAGATACGATCTAATAACAGTTTATTTAATGCATTCTTCTATTGAACATATAAACATTCCACAAACCTTTACATTTATTATTTGTTTTATTATTTTTTTCCATGTTTCCATAGTAAGTTTACTATTGCGAGTTTCCTATAACCAAATACAACGCAGCCACACTGCACAAAACCTGATGGGCTCCTGTAAATGCACTAGTGAGGGAGGACTGTACAGTAGCTAAAACAATAGGACTGTACAGTAGCTAAAACAACTATCTGTGCAGGTGGGGGTTGATATGCTCTGAAGTGTAAGGTGTGACTAGTGGCAGCCCTCATATACCAAAATCTATCGTCCATGGTCTCGAATTGTTTCCCACAAAGTATGCACAGATAGTTGTTTTAGCCACTGTAAATATCAAATTACCTATAACTTACTTGAAGAGGAGTGCAACATGTGAAACTGGGGCATTATTCTCTAATGATGCCACAACTGTGCCAGATGGAAGGGTGGTCACCTTAGAATTATGTTGGGGCAAAGTATACGAAGACTGCTGAGCTGCGGCCTGAGCTGCAAAACCACGATTCTGTTGAAATAATAAATTATATACTGTTACTGTACAAAAACCCTGTACAACAAACAAGTTTGCTTTTAAGATGTACTTCTAACAAAATATGGGACAGATGGACAAAAAACTAATACTTTCTCCTTCAGTGAGACAATAGAGTGATAATGAACTTGCCTCTCGCTGCCTTGTCCAGGGTTTAATCCCTTGCTCAGGACTGACGCGAGAAGCGTGTTACCCCTTGGGTGATCTTCCCAAACATCGAAGGAGATTTATACAAGCCACCTGTTTCCTTTCAACAAAGCTATAAATCATAAAGTTCCCAGTGAAGATAAATGTGTTCAATCATTTTAAGTTAAAAGTAGATAAAGTGCATAGGCAAGATTCTAAATGAGCCCAACACCTTAATATATTTATCCTTTCCATCACTTGTCAGCTTACTAGCTGTTCAGGTGGCCAGTCTTTTCTTTATTCCAATCTCCAGTGCCCAAGAGGAGACCAAGTACCTGTAGAGGAATAGTATGGAAAAAAAAAGAGCAACATTTGGTAGGGTCACACTGGATAACACCCTTCTCACATCTGACCCAGGGATCAAACCAGCAACACAGAAGTAAGAAACAAGCATGATACTGTTGTTATTACAAACACCCTAACACACATTTGAGTTGCCTTTTCAAGGAATGCAAATTACCAAAGAAGAAAAGGAAACAAAGTACAGTACATACAAGGGGTCCCCAACTTACAAGCGCCCACCGATACGAACAGGGTTAAACTTAAAATTTATAGTGTTTTATTAACCTGATCAATTGTTTTTTATTTTCATTTATTGTATTTTGTTATTCATTTCTTCTTAAATTAAGTGAATTTAGATGTACAGTATATAAGGACTTAGGCTATGATATAGTGGGATTTTAAACATTGTTCTGTAAGTACTGTACAGTATGCACATAGCATGTGTTCCGATTTACTTACAAATTCGACATAAGAACGTCCTCAGGAACGGAACCCGTTCATTACCCAGGGATCCCCTGTACTGATGTACAGCACATATGTGTATGTCCAATGGAATATAAATACAGTACAGGGTATTTATTTAGTTGGTTCAACAGTCCTGTAGCGAGACTAGTTTCCTTCTGATGCTTTTATATTCATTAAAATAACAAGGTAGTACAGGTGTACTGCAGAGGTAATATCTCACTTATATCAAGCAATGCACGCGAGGAAAATATGTTATGAAGATTTAGTTATAGGTTTGCCTGGTTTGTGTTGTCTGTTCTAAAATGGAAAACTAAATTACAAATATGGAACAGTTAAGAACAAATTACTGACCAGTCATAGCTCAGCTGACCTTTTCCTTCCAGGCAACTGCCCACACCCATAAATGTAACAAATTCACCACAAATGGCAGGGGCTTCCATTATAACCAGGGGTGCAGTGCTGCCGGAGCACCGCTCCAGCACCTCTGTTTTGATCAATTAATCAATCAATATCACCGACGCCTTGTTCCCTCCCAGGAGCTCCCCAACAGGGGGTGGCCATGGCAGAAATGTCTCCAGGACATTTTATCCTTGCACACCTCACATGCTCTCTCAAACACTCTTCCTCCCCTTCCTGCTCTCTCTTCAACAAACTCTCTAACTCTTGTCTCCCAGGTGGCAATTGGTCTACCCCTCCCAACATTCCCCTTTCTCTTGCTATCATAAACTTTTTTGTCAGCCTATCTTCATGCATCCTCTACACATGTCCATACCACCTTAGTGTATTCCTCTTCATCCACTCCACCACACTTCACACATGAAGTTATAGTAAGCTCTATATGTTACTATAAACCTATATCAAACAAGCAATCAACTTTATTTTGCAGTAATAATACATAATACAAAACCGAATATATCTTCACATAATTAATCTCTCCTTTAGATCAGTTTATATTTTATGACTTATCAATATTATAGAAAGACTTTGATAACAGGTGCACTTCTAAACACTTAAAAACTGTTTTTTTCAAAAGTAGGTATGTACTTCCTCACATAAGAGCTATAAATATGTGACCAATATCGAAAGGATAAGCACATTAGACCCAGAATGCTCACTTTATGTGGTGCGTGTACTCTTTTAAGCGGAGAGTGGCTGGCGGTCATCTCGCGCCGCGCCATTTTTGGATTCAAACCTCCCGCCATGTTGGGTAAGCAGCGCGAGTAGGTTGCGCAGTGTATGTCTTTGTTGCGTTATCGGTGACGTCATATGACGTAGTGGACTGTGATTGGGCAAAGCATCCTTACCTCCCTCCCCGCTAGCTGTGATTGGTTTAATGTACTATGACGTGCCCCGCCGCGGGAGCGTTCAAGCCCCTTGACCTACCCGCGTCAGTTACACCCCTCCCGGCTACACCGTGTATATCGGTATCCATTGTTCCATAAGAATGGCTTCCACCGGACCACCACCACAAAGAAACCTTGCATTACCTGGACCCAGCCGCCCTAAGCCAAAGACAAGACGTTCCTTAAGCTACGAAATCATATACAGTATAAGATCATACAAGAGTTGGAGAAAGGAACAAGACAGGTTGATGTTGCGCACCAGCATGGTGTTAACAAATCAACTATCAAGACAATTAAGGAGGATGCAGCCAAGATAAAGGAGCACATGAACATCACAAAGTCTACAGGTGCTTCTATGATCAAGTATTTCCACAACCAGGTGCTTCTCAAGACGGAAAAATTACTTGTGAGCTACTTGGTGCATCAGGCGCGACGGAACATGGCAGTGGACACACGCTCAGTTAAGGAGTACGCACGTGAACTGTATGCTGCAGTGTCACGAAAGATGGGAATAACAGAGCCCAAACCCTTTAATGCTTCCTCTGGGTGGTTACAGAGGTTTAAGAAGAGGAACAAGATCACCAGTATCAACATTGGTGGTGAAAAAGCTAGTGCTGACTGTGTTGCAGCTAGGTAATTTCCTCCGTTTTAAAGTGAGATTATGGAGGAAGGACAGTACACCGACGACCAGGTGTTTAACATGGACGAATCTGGTCTTTTTTGGAAAAAGCTACCTTCCAAGACCGTTGTGAAGAATGCCAGCAAGTGTCGGGGCTGGAAGTTGCAGAAGGAGCGCATCACCGTCCTGTTTACCACCAATGCCTCCGGTACCTGTAAGCTCAAGTTATCGGTGATCCACACAGCACGCAAGCCGCACGCCTACAAGAGCATGGACATGACCAAGCTAAATGTCCACTGGCTGACTGCACGTAAGGCATGGATGTTCTCTCCTCTGTCCCTCTCCTGGTTTGATGACTGTTTCGTTCCCGATGTGAAGAAATTCTGTGAGCAACAGAATGTGCCATACAAGATTTTGTTGCTGCTTGACAACGCACCAGGACACTCGCCCCTACTGTTAGATCGTCACTCCAACGTAAAAGTGGTCTTCCTTCCTCCCAACACTACGTCTATAATACAGCCCATTGACCAAGAATTGATCTGTAATGTAAAAGCTGCATTCTCTGCTAAAAAATTCAAGCTCCTGAACGACTTCACCAACACCAAGGAAGAGCTGCGTAACTTGAGTGTCCCTGTTTTCAGTTAGGTAGGATATAAAATGCCACCCATGACTTTGGAAAGGTTGCCCATGTCTGCCTTGAAGGATCGGACAAATATGACAGAAAAAAATGAGGCCTTTGATGTCATTTACCTAGATTTAAGAAAGCACTTGATAGTGTACCACATCATAGGTTATTATACAAAGTAAACAAAATTGGTAGATAATGATAATACAATAAGATGTATCGAAGGATTCTTAACTGACAGAAAACAACGTATAACAGTAAATGGAGCCAAATCTGAACGGTAAGAAGTGAAGTTTCACAAGGATCAGTCCTTGGACCAGTTTTATTTTTTATAAAAGTAATGTCTGATAAGTTTGCAAAATGTTTGCTGACAACACAAAAATCTACAATAAGATGGAGAGAGTTGCAACACTACAGGAGGACCTACAAGGACTCGAAACCTGGACAGAAACACAGAAAAAAATTTATTAAAGAAATATGTAAAGTAATGTACTATGGCCATATAAAATTAAACCATAATTATAAGATGTCTGAAACAATTTGGAAACTTAAAAAAAAAGGATCTAGAGTTTTAATCACATGCAATCTAAAATTTTGTGACCATAACTCAGAAATAACAAGAAAAGCTAACTGCATGTTAGTCACGATTAAATCTTCCTTCAACTACCTGTGCCTGAAATCATTCTTTATACTATATAAAAGTTGTGATACTGCACTTAGAATATGCTGTACAAGCATGGTCCCCATATCTTAGATAAGCTATAAGATACTAAAGAAAAAATACAGAGAAGAGCCACCAAAATTGTTCCTGAATTAAGAAATCTACACTACGAAGCAAGACTACACCAGCTGAAGAGACAAGAGAGGAAATCTGATAGAAACATACAAAATAATGATTGGAATTGAAGATATCAATAGCACACAATTCTTTCAAGAAAATTTCAGTGAGTTAAGGGGAAATGATACAAAAATATATACAGTAAACCCTCGCTTTACGCGGTCCCACATTCCGCGTTTCCACGTTTACGCGGTACCCTGCCAAAACCGGAAAGCTCACATTCCACGGTGCGTGTACCCCTTTATGCGGAGAGCGGCTGGCGAGCCGCGCCATTTTTGGATCCAAACCTCCCGCCATCTCTCCCGCCATGTTGTGTAAGCGGCGCGAGCAGGGTGCGCACAAGGTCGCCCAGTCATCAAAACATTACCGAGTTCTTCACCCGCCACCCACCACAGCCGGCCCAAGACAGTGATAGTGATAATTATAGTGAGGATATGGACTTATATGGACTTTGAGGGGTTTGACAAAGAGGCCCTGCAAGCCTCTGTGGTGGATAGTGATACAATTGATACAAGTGATACAGGTGAGGGCCACTAATCTGCCCTCTGCCTCGGAACCAACCCCCCATCCCCGTGTGCCCAGCCATCTTTTCTACTAATGTAAGTGTTAAAAAACCTA